GTAGGGGGGGGGGGGTCGGAGAGACGGGGTTGGGGTGGTTACATTTTGCGCGGAGGAGAATGGCACCGGAAACGAGTGTTTTGGTTGCTGGGCGGGCGGGTAGAGCCGAGGAAAAGGTTGTACGCGTTGCGTCTGCATGGCTTGGCTGAAAACGTGGCGGTCGAGGGTTAGGGTTCTTCTCTCACCAATTGATAAGAGTTTGGAAAGGTAACGGACTTTTGTCGATACCCATGGATGCTTGTCCCACTTCGCGGCACCTCTTCTTCTCTTGTCAGTCGACACGCAGCTTAGAAACAACAACAAACCGGCATTGATAAGACATGATGGGGCAGTTTCAAGAACTGATGGGAGCAACTCTCGCACGGCACCCGGCCGTGCGGCACCTCCTTTGGTCTTATCGTTTTCGAAGGCCGGGCGATAAATCGACTTTGGTTTCCGCGCGTTACCAGGTACCGCGTCTTCCTTTCTCGCTCCGGCCCCTCCCTCATGCCTTTATCTCCTCCGCCTGCCCCCCTCGTTAGTTGCCTTCTTGCTCACGTATCCCTGCCCTAACGTGTTGCCTCTGATGGCGCTATTGCTGTCGGTTTGATGTTGTTACCGCCCCCCCCGGGCCCGTCATGTGCGGTGTAACTTAACTGTAACTTGTGCGCGCCGTCGACGAAGCCGAGGGCGCTGGGTTTCTACCGCGGGCAGGCGTACCGTGCCGCGTCGTGCGGGGTAAGCGTGGACGTCCACTGCTTCGCCAACAAGACGTGCGGGCACTTCGGGCTCTCTTCGCTGGCGCCGTTGGCGATGACCACCGGGGGAGGCGTGTACAGGTAGGGTCCTTTTGGCGAGGAGAGTAGACGAAACCAGGGAGATGTCTGGGCACGTTCCTTGGAGGAATCTGATTGGGTGCGTGTTGGTTGGCAGGGTGTTTGGGCGGGCGGCACGGGCGGAGTGCCCACAATCCGGGAGTGCGCATGTCCTGCGTGCATCAGCAATCTCTTATTTTTTGTAGATGGACCCCATATCCCCTCGGTTACAATGTGTGTGCATACCTCGTTACTCACTCACCGTACCCCGCCCTTGTCATGAAACCCTCGCCGTGTGTATGTGCAGACACTCGCTGCTCCACCAGAGGGAAGGCGAGAATCGCGCGGTGACGGTGGCGAGGGAGGTGTGCGCGGAGCTCCTGCAGCCGAGGGTCTTACGACGGCCTCTTGCGGTGAGCGAAGCGGCCAAAAAACGCGATTGTGCGCTCGCCGAGCTGACATGGCTTCGTCTACACCAGCACCCATGCTTCTAGAGTGGAACGTAGCGGCAGGTTCCGGCCGAGCGAAATGATGCTGCCGTGACACTATGTAGCATCCCTGACACTACGTCGAGGCAGCCGGTGTGTGGAGATCACCTACTGCGCTCTTTCTCCAGCTGGTGTGTCTGAAACCACCGTCTCGTCATAAGCGTTACAGACCCCCCCCACCCCACCTAGCCGTTAAGGCATGCAAAACAAAAGAGTACGCCTCCCCCCCCCCCCCCTTGGCGCCTTTCAAGCCAGCCAGCACTCCGCCTTCTCTACCCCCCGGTGGCACCGCAGGGTGCGCACATCCGCGCCAGTCCGTAGTTTTTGTTTCATCATGTGCGTACACCGCGATGCCATTCATGCGATCGGCGATGCAGGGTGCGCACCTCGGCGGAGTTCAACGTGAACAGGGACGGCGTGTACGGTAACCTCACCGCCGACCCTCGGCTGGAGAGCCTGTGGCACGTGGCCTCCTGCTACTCCGGGCAGTCGTTCGCCATGGACTTCGAGTTCAGGGGGGCGGGAGGCGGAGCAGAGCTCCAATGGGACGAGGACGAAGACGCTAGTGCCACTGTACAGGTAGGTGTGAAACAGAGATGACGTTTTATCTACACCGAAAAGAGGAGAGACTGCTCGGCGTATTCTCCAGGCGTAACTCTTCTGCAGAAAGCTGGTCCGCTTGTAAACGGTGGGTGGTGGGCGTGGCCCGTGATCCTCTTACTGGCAGGTTGTGTTCTCCCGCCCAACTCCTCGATAACCGCGCACGCGTGACTCTCCTCGTCCTCGTGCAACAACCCCGCCCAGAGCGTGCGCCCTGTATCCCTCGCCCCCGTCGCGCCGGCACAGCGTGCTTGGGTGCACTCTGAGCTCACTGCTCTAATCGCCACGGACTTCCCCAGAATGGTTTTTTCTTGAGTTGTTCTTTTTCTCCCCCTACTCCTCCTTCGAGGTCATGGTCTAACGACTTCGGCATGCCTTTACATGAGTACGCCCCCCCCACACATGCGCCACAAATTTTTACGGATTTTGTGGCACAAACGTAAAGAGCTCCCAAAATGTTGGTGGTGTC